TCAGTCAGGCCTTGTGCTTTTCTTAGTTGAGTTTTTATTACTACCTAAATTTCATTGCTGTTTATTAGATTTTATAAGATTTGAAAAGTCTCCTTTTCTTTCCATTTATCTTTAAACATGCTTTGTTAGCTAGATATTTTGGAGAAAGTACCATGTGCTGCTGAAAAGAATCTGTATTCTGTTATTGGGTGGAACATTCTATAGATATCTATTAAGTCCATTTGTTCAAAGGTTTGGTTTAACTCTGATATTTCTTTAACTTTTCACTTAATGCATCTATTTGTGATAGTGTGGTACTGAAATCCACAAGATTGATGTTCGCTAATCTTTATGTCCTGTATGTAGTTGGGTGCACCGTAGTTTGGTGCATATATGTTTAACATTGTTATTGCTTCTTGTTGAATAGTTCCCTTAACCAACATGTGCTCTCCTTTGCCTCTTTCATTTTTTTTTTTTTTAATTTTTTATTTTTTTCCAGTACCGGGAATCAAACTCACGACCTTGCGCTTGCAAGGCAGGCACTGTGCTCCTGAGCTAAATCCCCAGCCCCTTCTTTGCCTCTTTTAATCAGCTTTGGCTTAAAGTACACTTTGTCTGAGAATAGGGTAACTATTCCTGCTTATTTTCTGGTTCCTGTTGCATAGAATATTGTTTTCCACCCTTTAATCTTTAGTCTATAGATTTCCTTTTGAGTTAAATGTGTTTATTGTATACAACATACCACTGGATTTTTCTTCTTGATCTGTTCTGCTATTCTGTGTCTTTTGATTGGTGAATGGAGTCCATTCTCATTAATAGTTATAATTGATACGTATTGACTTATTCCTGTTATTGTATTATTTACTTGTTACTATTCTGCTTTCTTTCCCTTATGCTTAACTGGTAGATCTACTTGCTGCATTCATTCTTTTGGACCTTTTTGCATTGTTAGCTTCATTGTCTCTAGTATATGAGAATTTGTGGAGCATTGGTTTGGTGGTCATGGATTACTTTAGGTGCTCTTTATCACACAAATGCCTTATTTCTCCATCAATTTTGAAAGATTATTTTGCAAGATATATCAATCTAAGTTGGAAGTTGTTTTCTTTTAGGACTTGGAATACTTTATTCCAAGCTGTCCTTGCTTTTCAGATCTGTGTTAAGTCTGTTGTAATTCTTGTGGATTTTCCTTTGTAGGTGATTTTTCTCTTAACAGCTTCCAAGATTGTGTTTTTATGTTGAATTTCTAGGATTTTAATTATTATGTGGCATGGAGTGGTTTTATTTCTAGTCATCGCTATTCAGGGCTCTCTGTGCCTCACTTACCTGTGTATTAAATTCTTTTTCCATGTTGGGAAAATATTCTGCTGTTACTTTTGTAAACAGTTTTTTGTATGCTCTTTGGGCTGTCTTCTGATTTTCATTAATTCCAGTTATTCTTATGAGTCTTCTTTGAGTCATCTAGCAGCTATTGGATCCATTTTTTATATTCTCTTACTATTTTTAATGTGTCTTTCATGAATTGATCACTAACCATGTCCCTGTCTTCTGGATGTGACACTGTCCTCACTCTGGTTGCTTATGAATATTCTTGTACATGCGTTTTTACTCTTGAGTTTGATGCCTAAGAGTTCAATTTTTAGGTCACATGGGAGGGTATGTGTTTCGCTTTGGAAGAAACTGTCACTTTTTTAAAGCAACACTACCAGTGCCTACCCACCAGCAATGGATGAAAATTCTGTTACTCTTTTACCTTAGAAAGGTCTTTTTAGTGGGCATAGAACTATGGGTTTGACTATTTTCTTACTGTCATTGTTACTGTGTTTTTCATTTGCAGCATTTTTATTTCATTCTTCTTTGTTACTTTCCACCTGAAAGATTGCTTGTTGCCCATCTTTCCTATCAAAGCTTTGAACATATTAATCATAATTATTTAAAATTCTTTCTCATTTATGCTATCATATTTGATTTTAGTTCTAATTGCTTTGTCTCTTTGGAGTATTTTTTTTCTTGCCTTTTTGTATGCCTTATAATTTTGTGACAAAGCTGTACATCTTATATAAGGCAGTAGCAATTTATGTAAATCATCTTTGTGCTTGGGATGGCCATCCCTCTTCTGTGGCCTTCACTGTGGAGGTCGAGTTGGGCTGATGCTGTAGCTGCCCTCCCTGCACCGTAGACTTGAGATCCCTGCAGAGAGGGATGCCTTGTGTTTGGAGTGGAGTTGGTTTACAACAATGCTGTCCATTCAGTATTCTCATTTTAAATCTTCCCCTCGACTATACCCGTGAAGAGGCCCCTCTACATCTCTTGATCCTTTTCTGTTTCTCTTCCATCACATATCCTTCAGAGCTCTCTAGTCTGGCATTTGGAGATAAAAAGGAAGACAGTGTGCCGTCTCTGTTCTGCTGAGCCTCCTTCTTGTGCATGCACTGTGTTCTTACCTGTGGCTCTCTTGGGCCTCCTCCACATTCCCAGGCTCTGCTGTAGTCCTGTCCCTCCCTCAAAGAGCTGAGCTGTTACTTTCCTCCATTGCAGTGAATGTTCTCCAGGGTCCTGAGGACAGCAGTAGCAGATGGGTCCAGGTGAAGTTGTTTGCCTCTCCCATGAGGGTGCTGCTCCTCTCCCCAGATCTGCCCCACAGCCGACGCTTCTTAGTACCCGTTCTCATGAATGCCTGATGTGGCTGCGATACAGGGCCCACAAGAGCCCCAGAGGTTTGCTGTCCTGACAGCTCACAGGTCTGCTGTCCTGGGCTCTAACCAACTATTTTACTGTCAACGATTTTAGCTGAACTCTTGATCCGTAACAGGAAACTTCCTGCCACATATACCCTGCAAGTGACACAAGCATATGTCTTTTTCTGCAGAAACATTTTTCAGATTTTGGGCTGTTTGATTCTCTAGGACCTCAGTGTTTCAGTGGGTTTTGAAAAAGTCTTAGTGGAAGTTAATATGTCCCATCCTGGTTACTTGCAGCAAGGCTAGCCTGGGATGGCATCAGCCTTCCTCTCCAAGGACCCAGTCTTTTCCCATCCAGTTCCCTGTGCTCTTTCAAAAGAAGATGGATCTTTTTAAAAAACATCTCTTCTGACACTTAAATGGAAAGTTTGGTCAAATTGAAGAAGACTTTTGTAACTTTAGAATTTCAAACACCAGACAAGACACCAACAAAGTTTGTCTGAGGAATTTGGAGTCCAGCAATGACCAGAAATCACCCATCCACCACCAGCATACACCCCCAGTGGGACTCTGATTTATTGATTGACTTACTTGTTTGCAACATTACAATAGTAGAACCTGGGAGAAAAAAGGTTATGAAATCTTCTATTAAAGGAACCCAGATACATATTTTATCTTTGAATATCTTAGTTTTAAAAATAATACATATCCATGAAAATAGCATAAAGCTTCTAGCCTTTTCCATTCCCTAGAAATAATCCTCAGATGTTTTGGTGTAGATTCTCTGAGACTTGTCTACTTGCCATGTAGAAAGAACAATATAAAATTAATATTTGGGAAATCCAGGAAAAACAACTATTGTTTATTTCTCTATTTATATATTTTCTGTCTGCAAAAAATACAGTAATTCCCCTCACCTACAGGCAAACTTCCAGGACTCCCCAGTGGATGCCGGAAGGCTCAGATAGAACTGAACACTCTGTGTCCAATGTTTTTTTACCTGTATCTATACACCTGCTGTAAAGTTTAACTTACAAATTAGGCACAATATGAAATAATGATATCCAGTAATAAGGTAGAGCCATTTAACAATACACTGTATTATGTGAGTGTCATGTCTCTGAATATTTTTTGTGCTGTTCTTACTTTCGTTCCGTGGTGACAGGAGATGGTCAGTGCCTTGGGTGATGAGGTGAGTGGTGTGGGCAGCATGATGCAGAGTCAGGCTGCTGCTGCCCTCTCTACCAGAACACAAACCCTGCCGCGACCTGACAGCACTGCCACTCTGTCCTGTAACCAGGGTGCAGCCTAGTGGCTCACAGGCAGGTCTCACAGCATGGGTGGTCCTTATCACACTGCTCAGAATGAAGTGCAGTGTGAAACTTGTTAGTGGTTTAAGGCTGGAATTTTGTATTTAATATTTTGGGCTAGTTGACTGAAACCATTAAAGGCAGTACCACGTATGTTCCCGCACTGCCACACACGTGCACACCCGTGTCACAGCAGAACTGCACGTGACTTCATGCACCTTTCACCCCTCCCTTTACACTGTTCAAAATTCACTAACTTGCTAGGAGAAAGTACCTCTAATTTACAATATTTTGAATGGGTGAAATTTTTAAACAGAGTCCCACATGAGTGAATAAGTACTTTGAAAATGTTCCTGGACCACTTCTCCTATTCTTTGTTAAACCCAGACTTTTGTGAGCTGTGCATATTAATGACTTTTAGGTAATGTTCCCCTTCTTGTGATAAATCGGTTAAAAATGGACATATTTAAAAATTGACATCATACTTTAAATTTTTAAAAATGAAAGTTTAAATATGAAGTGAATTTTGCTGTGGAAACCTGTTTGTAGTACTTGTCAAGGATTAGAGAAAATTATTTTGATCATAGGACAAATGCCATCAATTTTTTATTTTAACTTATTGAATGAAATGAAGACACAGGGAAGTAGAGGACAAAAAGAGACCATGAAAAAAAGTTGCGTTGAACTCTGGATTAATTTTTAACTGGTTGCCATATTTTAGGACTTTTTCAAGAACAGTGTTTAAAGCTTTCCCTTCAGTTTCTTTATATGTCACCTTCTTCCTGTTGGTTCCTCTTTCATGGCTTATCCTTAATGTGCTTGCCCGGCCATGTCACTGTCCCTCAGAACCTCTCTGCTCGGGAATCTTGTCATGCAGACTGTTGCTTCTCTTTGTCTTTGACCTCAGGCTTCGTGCATAGGGCCTGACCTTTATATTTCTCACAGTGTCGCCCAGCTTCTGAAAGCTGAAAGATTGAATTTTTGTACTTGTAGATCATTTTGTAATGCAACCTTTCGGTTGTTTACCTAGATGAGAAACAGAGATTCAGCTATGAGCGGTCTGGATGTGACCCTGAGGAATCTGATGGCCCCGATGAGGATGATAATGACAATGACGAGGACGATGAGGACAGCCAGGCTGAGTCCATCCTGTCTGCAGTCCCATCAGTCACGGCCAGCCCGCAGCATCTGCCATCTAGAAGTGGCCTTCAGGACTCTGTGAGTGCCGACGAGGACGTGAGGGTTCCCGATTGCTTCTCTGGGGTGCACATGGACCCCATGGACATTCTGCCTAGAGCACTGCTCACCAAGATGACTGTCCTGAGCACCGTGCAGTCCGACCTCAGCAGGAAGCTGAGCTCTCCAGCAAAGGCCAGGCAGCAAGCAGCAAAGGATGAAGACGACACGGCTCCTTCTGCAGACTCTTGCAGGTTGCCTGAAGTGACCCCCAGGTCCCCAAGCCATCAGATGTCTCTGGACTACCCAGAACCAGGAGTGGTACAAAGTTCTGTGGCGGAGAAGGCAATCACATTAACACAGGTAAGTGATTGGTGGTTGCTTTTTTCTTCTTTTACCCTTTAAGTATAGAGAGCCTAATAGTTTACAAAAATAATACACTGAAATGATTTCTTTATGGACAAACCAGTGTGGTTTTTTTTTTTTTTGTTATAGTTAATGGCAGAAATTCCTTTAGAATCTTAAGTACTTTAATGAAAATTCACATATTGTATTATAAATCTATGAAAGAACCAAGTGCTGCTTTAAAAACTTAGCCATTTATTATTGGGTTTTTTAAAAATTTAGAAATAAAACGTGCATGTGTCAGTTGTGAATAGAAGTCCTGGGGCTTGTTTATCCCAGGACTTCCTCTGAATTGTTTTCCACTGGATTTGCACCACATTCTCCAAATAAATGCTTTGTGCTTTACCAACATTGGCAAAGTACTTCGTGGCTTTCGTGGCCAACTTAAAGTGACCCAGAAATGTTTGAAGAGCTCACTTTGCCTAGATGATAAATAAGAGTGCCATGGCCACGTGAGCAAGCTCTTCCCAGCTCCAGCCTGGGCCAGACTCTGGTTTTGTGGGCCCAGGATAGGCACTGAATGCCCACGCCTTGCCCTGTGGCCCCTGACCAGTGAGTGGTTCTCAGCCGAGTACATCACCATGGACTCTCTTCTTAACCTCATGTATGTGTATAATTTATTTCCAAATGGGACAGGTGTGGGTTTGGTGGGTAACAGTGGAGAAAAAATAAAGGACTGTAAAGGCTTGGATTTCTACAGACTAACTGGCCTAAATTAATATAATTTAGTTAAATTATGTTGGTGCTAAAGTTATATTGATACAGAAATATGTGGATTAATGAAGTTTCATAATACAGGTCTAATCAAGAAAAAGGCTAATAATTAGGTACGAATCTTGGGGTGGTAGAGAGGATGGGCAAGATTTATTCCTTCCAGTAACTGCTTTCCTTCAGTATTAGTGACCCACACCCCGAACTTCTCTGTCCCCAACCTCTCGCGTGCCTGCCAGCACTTGAACATCTGGAATTCAATAGCGTTCCTGAACGTAGGAATATGTGAAGTAAAGGAGCCCCTGCAGAGTTTTGTTTCTTTGAGCAATAGCTCTTTAATTTGTGAATGAAGATTCTTGGTTAATTTTTCCCCAGTTCAGTCAATGTCCAACATCCAGAATTTCTCAACAATTCCTAATCTCTAAAATCAGGTGGAACCAGTGGTACCAGGAATAATAGCAGCTGCATGCAGAATATAACTGTGGCAAACTGAGTTACTCTCAGTTTAAAATATGGTGATACCCAGGAAAGTGGTTTGAAAAATGCAAAGCACGATACGAACGTATTATTTGTCCTAGGAAAGAAAGATGCAGTTGATTTGTTTACTTAGAAGTTCATTTGTAAACACAGAATAGTTTTTAGCAAGCTTATCATTGTTAAAGACACATGCAAACTTTGCCATCACTGAAAATAGGTTAGCACCAGCATCTGCTGAGCCAGCTCTGCTCTCACGGCTCACGCTCCTTGTCTTGCAGGGGATACCATCCGGCAGACTCCTTCCTGCTGCAGCTGGGCCCGCCCCGCAGCCAGTGGTGGGGGCTCTCTCCATGACCTCCCCGCATCCTGAGGCTCAAGAACAGAAGCAGCAAGTAATCCCACAGCCACCCGCAGTCCTGCCTTCTCCCCAGACGCGCTTGTTCAGCCACCTCCCCCTGCATTCCCAGCAGCAGTCAAGGACGCCTTACAACATGGTGCCCGTGGGAGGCATCCACGTGGTACCCGCCGGCCTCACCTACTCCACCTTTGTGCCCATTCAGGCCGGGCCAGTGCAGCTCACCATTCCTGCTGTCAATGTCATTCACAGGACCATGGGCCCCACTGCGGATGCCATCCCAGAAGCTCCTGGCACGACAAATCCCACCGGAGTGGCTGAGTTGAGCAGTGTTGTGCCATGCATTCCCATTGGCCAAATACGTGTGCCGGGCCTACAGAACCTCAGTACCCCGGGCTTGCCGTCTCTCCCCTCGCTAAGCATGGAAACTGTCAACATCGTAGGCCTGGCCAACGCCAATCTCACCCCGCAGGTGCATCCGCCAGGCCTCTCTCTCAACGCTGTTGGGCTGCAGGTTTTGACTGCAAGCCCTTCCTCTCAAAGCAGTCCCACCCCTCAGGCACACATTCCAGGTCTGCAGATCTTGAATATAGCCTTGCCCACTCTGATTCCCTCTGTCAGCCAGGTCACCACGGAAGCCCAGGGGGTTCCAGAGATACCAGCTTCCCAGAGCAGTGCATGTGACATGCAGCCCAAGCAGACTTCTGTAGCCAGTGCCAGCCAGGTCAGCAGGACCCAGTCTCCTCAGGGGTCACCTAACATCCAGCAGGAAACCGCAAAAAAAGTTCTGGGTCCCGCTGCCCCTGCAGGCAGCCATGCAAGGCACGATGGCTCCAGCAGAGTGGACGCAGAGAACGCAGCTTCCGCAGATCATGGGAAGCCCCAGCCTGAGCTCCCTTCCACCCAGGGCCAGCCCGCACGTGCAGCAAATCCTCCACCAACAGCACGAGCTGCGGTCTCCCCAAAGCCATCAGGGCCGCGGTCTCTCTGTGCCGACAGACAGGGGCCCTGGTCCTCCGCGCTGCCCCCACGGCAGCCCGCCGCGCACTTCAGCGACGTGAGCAGTGATGACGACGAGGACCGCCTGGTGATCGCAACCTAGGGGTTTTTTATTTTTTTAATAACTTAATGGTTTCTTTGAAAACCCTCCTTTCCTTAAAGCACATTTTTCTGGCATAAACTCATGACTAATCTTTGTGCAATCATGAACTTTGACCAATAATTGTTGTTTTGTGTCAGCTCCAACCATTTTTGTACATGTTGTATAGACAATTGTGCCTTTTAGGAGTTTTACGTTTAGAAACTGTACAGATTGTTGAATATCTATATACATGAAAATATGTTATATATGTACATGAAATCCAGGTAGTTATTTGTGTTTAGTAAGAAGAATCTGTCAAATAAATCAAATGATTAAATTATATGTTGCACTGTTAAATATAAATTTTTATGGCCTTGGGGCAGAGTTTCTGTGTATAAATTAGTATGTAAACTCCATATTTATTGTATTCATATTAGTCTTTAAAAACGGATCTGTCCTCTTTGTGTAAGACAGTAACTTTACACTTCAGGCAGATTTTCTGTGTTATGAAATGTTTCAATAAAATATTGTTTACTGACTTTACTATGGCTTAAATTGTGCCTTCGTCATACCATCTGGTGATCAGTAATCTGCATCTGGAAAACAGCCCAGGGACCCTCTTTCCATGTGCCCCTCCACCTGGGGTAACACACAACTGCAGCCCAGCACTGCACACGCTTGTGTTTCTTATTTGAGAGAAGTAACCCATTTTGAGATATTTCGTGTAACATATAGTCTGAAATGGGCAAACTTCTAGAGGTGGACATGAAGGTTTCTGGTAAACAAAAAATGAGCAGTGGTCCTGAGAGCTTAGTTTGGATGGGACTCAGGGAACCGTGACACCCCCAGGCGCCAACCCCTGTGCATCGGCCTCCTGCTTCATGCCTGCCTGTGGCACGGAGAGAACTCCATCCACTCTACGAAGCCACAAAGGAGCCAAGGTTTGTGGAAGAGCCAAATTCAGACTTCTGACTCAAGTACTATAATTTTTTAGAAATGATTATTTTCCCTCCTGGGAGATTCAACTTTCATTCATTCAGAAAAATGACCACAAGGAGTGGAGATGTACAATTACAACTGTAGTAATTTGCATTATTGCCAAAGGATTACAGAAGTTGGATTGGGAGAAAAATGTTTTAATGTTGGAATTCGAGTATTAACATTATCAAGATAGTGCATTCACAGTTAGAGAGGCCTGCTTTGTGAACACAAAACTGTCAGGGACTGAAGTTTTCTGGGGGGCTGAGAGACCTGGAGACAACTGTTAGCCACCCAGGTCATGCCTGTGACTTTAGCAAGGGCACCTGGTACCCTGGAGCTGCTGTCATAATCTCAACTAGGATCTCCAGGCTTCGATTCAGGCCCAGAATGATGATCCATCATGCTTTGATGCATGCTTCAACTTAAATTTATACCTTTTCTCTGATTAAGTAAAACAGATCCTCAAAAATGCTAATACAGATTTTATATTCCAAGATAGGTTTGAAAAGACTTCTGGAATTCTTCAACTATGATTGAAGTTTGGGTAACACTGCCCAAATGACAGAGTTGTTGAAAAATGAGGTCTATTATCTGTCCAGTTTCTGAAAATTACTAAATTTTAATTTTGTCTCATGACCTTGTGTTATACTTTCATTGCCTAAAATTTTAAAATTTTATAACCCTAGTGAATGCCCTTTCAGTCTTGTTTCCATAGCTGTACTCTAGATTAAAAGGTAATGGTAAGAATTTTAGCATTAAAGAGTTTAATGTATGTAGACTTTTCTTAATTTGGAGAATTTTACATTTAACCATGTATTAAACACTGGTATGTTTGGATGTTACCTTAAAAATCTGCGAGATAAGAAATATTACCAAAGTCTGAGCCTTTGTATTCTGAAATAATCTCATACTCAAAATGGACAAGGAAATAGTTGATTTTCTTCAGTCAGTTTTCTTCAGCTTTCCCAAGGAGTTCTGTCCATTTGATATTCCCCAATACAATTGATCAGCAAAGAATGTAGAGAGGTGATAGAGCTTCATTTGGCTTTTTACTCTCATGCTTTTCGCAAGACCCAGCTTGGTAGAGAACCACTGTACAGTGACAGAAAATCTCAGTAAGTTATTGGCAAATCTATAAAAAGCATAATGTGAAGCAATTTTAACATCTTGTGTGAATCTACTCCAAGGCCACCATCAGAAGTGTTGGAAAAACAGTTAAAGAGCTGAAGGTCATTTTTCTAGTTTTTAAAGATGAACATTTTTCTAGTTTTCAAAGGTGAGCAAAGATGTTATGAAAATTTACTCTTAAGTTAAAATAAGGGCATTCAATTAACTTGTTTTCATTCCCCCAATTTAGGCCATGATACCTATTTCTTCCAGAATTATAATTACCTGATGATAATACAGAAATTTTGTTCCTCATTTTTTAAAATACAGCATGATATTCCTTCACAGAACAAGTATAACACCTTTCTCATTAGTTAATCCCTGACCTGAATTTTAAGTGGTGGTACTTAATAAGGATTATAGAATGTGATCATTAGTTTTGTTAGAAGATTGTCAAGATGGTACTTCATACTACTAGGGTCAAACTTACATCAGTGCTCTTCTTGACTTTTCTGTTTTTTTTTTTTTTTTTGGTTTTTCTCCGGTACCGGGAACCGAACTCACGACCTTGCGCTTGCCAGGCAGGCGCTTTTGCCGCTGAGCTAAATCCCCAGCCCCAACTTTTCTGTTTTTAACCTTACTTTTGAGATCAAATTGAAGCAACATCAAAAACATGCTTTTTAGTGCAATTTTGTTTCAAAACCATCTGCAAATTGTAAGGATGTTAAATCTTAAAACATACTCCTTTAAAGTGACTTCCCATAACCTTGGAAAATTACAGTAGCTAACATTCAAAAAAAGGTTATTAGATAACTTTATAATATTTTAACGACAATAACTCCCTACCATCACAAAAATAGAATGAGTGTAAAAACAGTGAAATATTTTCTCCACAAATTATATAATTTGGCAACCACGAGGCTTTCTGTCACTGCATTGGTCTTGTACCCTAGGCATGCCTCCCTTCAGCATTTCTGCTTGTGAGTCAGCTTGGGCCTCAGCAAGACTCCTAGGCCTCCTAAAAACCAAGTAATGATTCAGTGCCAACCAACTCCAGTACTATGCAAGATACAAAGGAAATTGTAAGAACATTTTCCACCCAAAATGACAGTCCTGCCTAAGAGCAGATCTGAGACCCTGTCTCAAAAAGGCAAAAAAAAAAAAAAAAAAAAAATCATGGAGGCCAAGTAAAAGAGGGTCCATTCAGACACTCATTCAATAAACATAGATTTAGTACCAACAATGTAGAAAGCACTTTGGGAATGAAAATGCAATGTAAAGCAAATGGTAGCTACCCTCCAAGACTTGAAGTTCTCATAGATGAATAAGTATCTTGTGGCCTAGAAGTGGTATAAGCAACTAGGCATGCAAATGAGAGGGTGTTCTGGCCAAGCTGATCAGCCAGTGCTTCAAGAGGATTGCAAGTTCAAGTCCTACCTGGGAAACCTAGTGAGAAGTACAAAGGGCTGAGGATGTAGCTCGGTTAATATAGAGGGCTCCTGGGTTCCATCCTCAAATTAAAAGAAAAGGCATTTAAGTTTGGCCTTACCTATGGAGGGACTTGTTAAGCAGAGACAGTAAATGAAACCACTGCAGGGAGAAAAACTTTAGAGGAGAATCAATGTCTCTACTATGTGCCATTTTTAATTATCCCTCGCAAGCAAGATTGCCCTGTTACCCGCAAGAAGACTGCATCTCACGAAGGTCAGAAAACCTAGTTGTGCAGGTGCTGCAGCTGGTGTTTGAAACCAAGGTCATGTGATGTGGCAGTGTTATACCTAAGCCAAAGCTCAGGAAATATGAGAGAGTGTGGCGACCAAGGAAATAAGGCTTTTTTGGTTCTTCCTCAAAATCAGAATGAGCATGAAAGGTAAATGTTTTGATTCAGGACACCAAGAGAGTCAAGACAATGCAACTACAGACACTTGCAGAAGAGAGCTTCCAGAACTGCTTCACAAATGTAAAAAATGATAGGATACATGTTTAAAGCAAAGGGGAGAATTTTGAAGAGAATCAATATGTCTCAAATTTTAAAAATTTATATAGTCACTCAATTTTTTTTTAATCATACTTCATACACCAAGTTCAGTATGTACCATTCACATTTTCAAGGACAAAGTATAGTCTTTGGGATGTTAAGAGTACACTCTGGATCCAGGTGAAAGACACATTCTAGTCTCTCAAGTCAGCGCTTCCTAAGAGTATCCTGGCATTTCTGAATGCTAAGCTTGAACAAGATATAGACAAGTGAGTATATTTTGAGATCATCAGGCCGTATGGTCCAAGAGAGAGCTGGAGATAGGACACCCTGGGTAATCTGTTTGAATCTAAAAAACCAACTTGGGAGAATCACAACAGCAGAAATAATGAGAAATGTGTCTTTCCAGTGGGAGAGAGAGCTCAGGGATTAAGAAATAAGGCAATGAATGGGCTGTTGTGTGGACAATTCCATGTCTCCCTTAATTTTTGTGTTAATTCATGATTCACCTCCCAGCAAAATACTAGTGAGAATTTATGGCCTACAAGTTAAAACTCATATTTGCATCATAGCCAGACGTAGATGTGGAGGGACACGTTTGCCTTCAAGGAAGACTGCAGGTGTAAAAATTGAAACATAATTCACACCCATCCTGTAAGACATATCAGGGTAAGGGAAGTGTATAGCCACTGGCCTGCGTTTGGTTCTGCAGGGGGTTCTGAATACCATCCCAAGAGGTTGGATTCTGAGGGCTGGGCCTGCCCAGAGGGAACAAAGGTGGCTGAGAAGAGCCCCAAAGTGGGGTCTAGGATCCAATTACATTCTAATATCAGGGGCAAGGACCGGGCAGATAATTCTTGCAAGGTCATGAAGCCAGTTTTGCCTATGTTGTAATTTCAGCCTTTCAGACACAGTTAAAATTTTATAAATCCACCCCCTAACATTTAATGCAAGTTTTCTAATTATGTTGCCTTTAATCTTTGAAAAGTTAGAGTTGTCTTTTCCCCTCACAGCTGAGGGTCACATTAGATATTCAGACTACATTTCGGCACTTGAAGAATTAGTTTTTTTGAAGTGCTAGATTGTTTCTGGTGGAGGTGGAAAATGCAGCAGGGGAATGAGGGAAGGCTGGAAGGTAAGGACCTAAGTAAGATTTTCATTTCCCACCATCTAAGCCATATAGTAACTCTGAAATGATCTAATTTTGGTAAACACTTTGACACCTCAAATTAAATAGGAAAAAGTCTAAGATTAAAGTGTTTTTGGAAAAAAAAGATGTTGAAAAACTAACTTTCCAAATTAAGTAAATTTTCTTAAACTAATAACATATTCTTACTAGTTTTAAATTTTGAGATTATATACAAGTCATGCTCCTTTGGTACGACAGAAGAGGATTTTAGGAAGAAGTCACATTTTGTAGCATGAAATTTTTAAAAATTTTAACAGTTACAGCAATACTATATGATGTTTTTCCCCC